CTAAATACAGCATGAAAATAAATCTGAGACAATGTCTCAGTATTCTGGGCAGTGTGCTTGAAGAATTTGAAAGTTGTTGCGTCATGAGACCCTTCTCACCATTCATATTTTTTTTTTTTTTTATTATTCAACGTCTCCCCGACCTAAAGACTCGACCCTCACCACTGGTCAAAACTCATCAATAATTTTGGTCAACACACAGCAAATATAGACATTCACAATCCTAACATATAACGAAATATAATTTAACTTTAAGAAATTCATTTGACAAGGATTTATTTCATAATAAATACATAGACTTTATAATAATATAGGGAGCATGAAGGTAGTTCCCGCAATGAATGTGGGTAACACTGAATGTATTGTTCCACACTTCTGTACATGTGAATAGACCACGAGCGCTTCCCCGCAGTAAGTCATTTGGCTGGCTTATCAAATAATAACATTATCATAGAATTAAACCAAATATAAATTTATGTAAGATTCAGAATTTTCTAATTTTGATACAAAAAAATGTATTCTTTAACAGTTTGTATTGTATAATTTTCAGTTTCTCAAAATTTTTAAATCTGCGTACCTCCAGTTACACAGTTTGAAAATTTGCTTGTAACACTTGACCAAATAACGTTATTTTTGGTATATGCAGTACCAAAACTAGCAGAGGGAGCGATACGGGGCCCATGCCCCAGGCTCTAATCATAGTGGCGCAAATTTCAAATTTTAAACTCATAATTTTTTATTACATTTTAATTGACACATGCATTTTGTATTGGTATCTTTTAGAGACGCTAATATTATGTTGTGCCCCTGGCTACATAATTTTTAGATCCGGCACTGGGTGTATGTACTGCTTTAATAATGTATTGTTTTATACCACAGACTTTTAAACCACACTACTTTATAGAAATCTGTACTATATAGAAATCTGTTTTAAAATAATGTTATCATAGAGTTAATCTGCGATAAATCCTCCCAAACAAAATATAAATATATGAATAATTCAGAATAATCTGAATACCTATTTAGGGTTTTGAGGATTGTGAATTTGTCATTATTTAAATAAATATGAAGAAAACCGTTATTAAATGTCCAAATTGTAGCAACATTTACGTTGCAAAAGAATATGTAGGGGGGGGGGCATAAAGTTAATTAATTTTAGATTCTGAGTGAAACGATGAATGTATTGATTTGACAATGTGTGTTTTTATTAAATTTTTTTTGTGTTTCATCACGTTTTAAGATAGTAAAAGTGCTTGGATTTTCTTCATCAGTAGCTTTTCTGATAGGAAAATGAATCTATTTGGTACTTTGGGGGGGGTCAAAAGTAAAAATTTCCCAGTAGTTTTCACAAACGAAAACATTTTCAAAATATTTTGATTTATTTTGAACTGTTTAGGGACATTTTTTTTTAGTTTTTTTTCTAAAAATATCAATAAAATTTTATTTGTTGGTTGCAAAAGCTTGAAAATTTAATAGAAGGCTCCTAATATATTGTTTCAAAGGCAGATGAAAAATATTAAAAATCCTTAGTCACAATTTTTTTTTATAAGCATTTAAAGTTCAAAAATTGACAAAATATGGAAAAATCACGAAAATTAGCAAATTATTTTGAGTTAAGAATTCGTAAAAATTTTCTTTTTAAATCTAAGATTTGAAAATGAAACACAAGATTCCTTATAAGATTATCTACCTTTATCAATAAAAAAATCTCTACCGGACAGTCAAATTAAATTTTTATGAGCGTTTGAAATTCAAATTTTTACAACATTGAATATTCACTCGATTTCTCATGTAGCGATTTCCTTATTTTGTTGTAATTCAAAAACGAATAATTTTTGATACATGAAAATTTCACTGAATATTTATATTAGCATTTCCTATACACCATACAATTTTGAAAATATTTTGACTCTTTTTGAGCTGATTATGGACATTTACATCTTTCAATTTTTTTTAGTTTTTTTTCTATAAATATCAATAAAGTTTTATCTGTTTTGCCAAAAAGTGTAAAAAATTAATACAAGTCTCCTGATATATTGTTACAAGAGCAGTTGAAAAATATTAAAAATACATAGGCACAGTTTTTTTTTATAAGCATTTAAAGATCGAATTTTGACAAAATTTATCAAAATCTCGAAAATTATCAATCATTGTAATTAATAAATTATAAAATGTTCAGTTTTTATAGAGACCGGTCATGTATTGAAAAACACTGCGCTCTGGCGGACAGTCTCTGAAATTCTTCCGGGAGACGAAATACATTGTGGTATACAAAATAAAGCACAATATTGTATAATATTTAAATTTAATATTAAATGATATTATTAAAACTATAGTAAATGGGAGAAATGGAATATAATATAAAATTATCAGCATAATAATATATTATCATTTCTAATTAAATATAATATATTATATAAAAAGAATTGAATAATTAATTTAGCTACTGATACCTATTTTGATCATATAACTAAATAACTTTTAAAATCTTGGTTAATAAATTTATAAAAATGACCTCTAATACTCCTAATATTATAATTAATAATGGTTTTCAAGAAATACATCTTAAGTTTAGTGTTCCAAACAATAAAGGACAAAAACTGTGTGAGAGTAAACATGTATTTAACGTCGAAGAAAATAAATCTATAGGCTATTCAAGAATAACAGGATATGTTATAAGACAGACATCAGTAACTTTGGAACCTTGGAAAGTAACACTTGATGTATGTTTTGTAGTCTTATTTTTAAACTTTCCTGGTAAATATGTTACCTATTGTATTTTTATTTTCAGTTGAATGAAAATAGGATTGTTACCCATACTAACTGTAATTGTCCTACTGGTGCAGGAGGGATGTGTAAACACATTTGTGCTGTAGCTTATTTTATTAATAATGATGATGGTTTTTCAAAAACAAATTTGCCTTAACAATGGGGTAAACCCTCTAAGTCTGGCCAAGAAAAATATAAAAAAGGTAAAACAATTGAATCCTTATTTCCCAACAAAAGGCTAAAATCTGAAAAAAACAAAATTAGATATTGCAGTGGATCATCAAACTCTTATCGAAGAATGCAACATATTAGACATTCATTGTAGTTTGAGTACTGTGTTGAAAGAAGAATGTCTTTCAGCTACAGAAAGAGAATTACAGAAAGAGAATGTAAAAAAAAAGGTGGGCAAGTGGGTGTCGCTCTGCTGTACAGTAGGTTACAAGTGGGTCACTGTATAATGGATGGTATTAAATTTGAATTCAATGATATAATATCATTGTATAAGAAAAACGATTCTGAACGGTGATGGTATGTCAGTCTATGTATAAGGCATATTATATACATATCTATGGTATTAAACAAACAATTGCCCTATAATAGGTACCTATAATAAATTCCAAATTAATCATATCACAATATCCATTAGATACTTATAACGCGTTATACAACACCAAAAACCGTGATACTATCATAGATATATAATAGTACACTTTAGAAGTTTCAAGTACCCACGAATAATATTATTCAATCACAACAAAATAACTAAAATAGTTATTCTAGGTTTTTTAATATGTAATTTCGTCCAAATTTGAAATTAAAATGTCTGTAAAAAATAAGTGTGTTTATATATTTTTTAGATTTTTTGGTTACAGTATGAATTATTTAAGAGAATCTTTGTTTTAAATTTTCAACTCTTAGTTATAAAAACTGAACATTTTATAATTTTTTAATTCCAACGATTGATAATTTTCGAGATTTTGATAAATTTTGTCAAAATTCCAACTTTAAATGCTTATAAAAAAAAATCGTGCCTATGTATTTTTAATATTTTTCAACTGATATTGTAACAATATATCAGGAGCCTTGTATTAAATTTTTACACTTTTTGGCCCAACAGATAAAACTTTATTGATATTTATAGAAAAAAAACTAAAAAAAATTGAAAGCTGTAAATGTCCATAAACAGCTCAAAAAGAGTCAAAATATTTTCAAAATTGTATGGTGTATAGAAAATGCTAATTTAAACATTCAGTGAAATTTTCATGTATCTACAGTTGTTCGTTTTTGAATTACAACAAAATAAGGAAATCGCTACATGAGAAATCGAGTGAATATTCAATGTTGTAAAAATTTGAATTTCAAACGCTCATAAAAATTTAACTTGACTGTCCGGTAGAGATTTTTTATTGATAAAGGTAGATAATCTTATAAGGAATCTTGTGTTTCATTTTCAAATCTTAGATTTAAAAAGAAAAATTTTTACGAATTCTTAACTCAAAATAATTTGCTAATTTTCGTGATTTTTCCATATTTTGTCAATTTTTGAACTTTAAATGCTTATAAAAAAAAATTGTGACTAAGGATTTTTAATATTTTTCATCTGCCTTTGAAACAACATATTAGGAGCCTTCTATTAAATTTTCAAGCTTTCGCAACCAACAAATAACATTTTATTGATATTTCTAGAAAAAAAACTAAAAAAAAATGAAAAATGAAAATGTCCCTAAACAGTTCAAAATATTTTGAAAATGTTATCGTGTATAGAAAATGCAAATATAAACAACCAGTGAAAATTTCATGTATCTACGGTCATTTGTTTTAAAGTTACACCAAAAACCAAATTCGAGTTTTTGGAAAATCGATTTTGCGTAAAAATTCCCGTTTTTCCTTAATTTTTATGTTGTTTTTCCCGGCGCTTTTGAAAACTACTGGAAAATGTTTACTTTTGACCCCCCAAAGTACCAACTAGATTCACTTTCCTATCAGAAAAGCTACTGATGAAGAAAATCCAAGCATTTTTACTGTCCTAAAACGTGATGACAGACACAAAAATATAAATAAAAATATAAATAAAAATATAAAAACATACATCATTGTAAAACCAATACATTCATCGCTCCGCTCAGAATCTAAAATGCATTTCATTTATAATAAACCAATTAGAATTTGATTTTACTGTAGAGTTAAATCAAATTCATTTATCTACAATTTTGTATGCACAAAAATTAAACATGATCACTTTAAATCTGAACATGTTTCCCTTAGATTTAAAAGTTCATAATTTTTACTATTTGTATATAAATATAGATGATAGTAAAATGATGCAAGTGTTTAATAGCACAATTAATCAGTCTAATGATTTATGGAAAAGAGAGAGATATTTTCGTTTATCAGCAAGTGCAAAAGCTCACAAAATAAAGACTTACAGGAACTGGTCAGATAAAGGATTATTAATTTTATGTAGCACATTATTAAAGGAAAACAAACTGGGAAAGCAAGGTAAAATAAATGTAACTTATGGTCAACAAAATGAACCAATAGCTTTAGAAGTATTCAAGCAGATGTACAATAAAGATGTACTAAATTGTGGTTTAATAGTAGATGTTAAACGACCATGGCTATGTGCAAGTCCCGATGGACTTATTTTGAATGAAAGTGGTACCATAGAAAAGGTATTGGAAATTAAATGTCCAATATCATGTAAGAAGAAACCCATAGTTGATTCTAATAAAAATATAAATGTTAAATATTTGGAATGGGATAATTGAATGGAAAATTAACTTTAAAAAGTAGACATGTATATTAAACTCAATGCCAATTGTTAATGCATTGTAGTGGTTTGAATTCCTGTGACTTATTTGTGTATAATAACATTGAACTAATTCTAGTGACAGTAGAAAAAAATCAACTATTTCTTAATAACTTAATTAATAAAATGTCCTTTTTTTACTTTTCCTTTTTTTACCAAAATTAATTGATAATTTTGATGCTAAATAATTTGTTTAACACCTATGTTATTTGTATAGTTATTATTTTATTTCATGCTTGTAAGTTTTGTTTTGTTCAAGTTGGAATCTTTTTCTATAAGACAGTGTACTCATTTAGTTTTAGTAAAAGTAATATAATAATATATTTCTTATAATTTACAAATAGTGTTAATAAAAAAGTATACATAATAATGTTATTTAATAATACATAATATAAACATGATGATGATTAATTTTAATAGCTTTTATTGACTTGGAAACTTATAATTTATATTTTACAATTTCACATATTTTAAAGATTTTTAATTTTGTTTTATTATTGGCGACTGTAAATTTGTTAAAACACAACAAATATGCATTATATTATCAATTTCAGGAAGAATATTAATTTTAATTTTGTTAAGTATACCATATGACTTAAGTCTAGCAAAAACTCTTTCTATATGTATCCTAACACTAGCTACACTATATGTTTCAAGGACTTCTTCTTCTGAAAATCGACAATTATGTAGTATTGGTGGCATAACTAATATTGAATTATTATTTTCACATTCAGTTTTAATTCCTGGAAAACCTTTATCTGCAAGAACCGGCTCTAACTTTTCCAAAAACCCAGAATCATTTGTTATAAATGAATCGCTAGTTCTACCACCATAACATTTAGATAGAAACGAAATCATGCCATTTGGAGTTACTGCAACTAATGTTTTAACAGTATAACAACCTTTATATGATGAATAAAGATAAACACGCTGTTCAACAGTACTTGGCTGTTCAACTTTAATTTCAGTACAATCTATTATGCATCTGCAGTTTGGATAATTTATTTTAAATGAATTGGGTAATGTTTGAGTAATAGAATACTTATCTGGCCAAAATATAAAGTTTTTAGTTTTAGAACATATCACATCTAATAATTTAAAAAATATTCTAGAGGCAGTTCTTCGACTTATTTTAAAAAATACACTTAATGCAGAAAATGTTATACCTAATTTAATTTTTATTAAAAATAATAATAATTGACTTTTTATATCAAGTAAATTTTTATTTGAGTCTGATAAAAATGAAAGTAAAAGTTTAAAAACTTTAAATGTCACCCCAGTCAAATCTTTAAGTTGGTTTTCATCTTTAATGCAATCAAATCCATGGAATTTGTTACAAGAAAGGCATGAATCAACTTGAAGAGAATCTGGACCACAAGATTTATCCTGAACTGAAGAAGCCAAATTAAAACAATTTTTTGGGATTGTTGCTTGTGTACAAACATCAGAACCTACAAATTCACAGCTAAATACAAAGTTCTTGTTAACAGAATTTTCAAATGCGACTTGGGTGCTAACTTCTTTGAACTGGTTCATTAAATTATTTCCTTCATCAGTACTTGTTATGATATAATCACAATGATCCTGGATACCAACAGAATGAAGTATATTATCTGATGATACTTTTTGGCGTTTTTGACCACGTTGATATCTATCCATTCTATGTTCTTGATTAGTTTCATTTTTTTTGTATATTTCAGGAAATATTGAAGGTACAAATGAGGGGTGAAGTGGATTTTTGGACTTAGTATTTCCAACAAAATGTGCACTACATATGACTGATCTTCCACTTGGTTGCCATAATTTACCATTTTTACTATAAAATTAAATATTTTTTAATCTGATATAGACATATAGTTCTTTATGAGCAATAAAGTCAAGTGCAATAATTGTTAATGATTAGAAAGTACAATTAATCTTATAGGTAAAATAAAAATTATTATTGTGATTTGGTTAATTATATATCTGATTAAAGAGAAAATATTAAAAAAAAATAACAATCATAATAACAGTCATAATAACTCAATTACTGCTCTTTACTAAATTGACTAGATACCTACATTAAAATATACAATTTCTAATTATATTTACTCTAATCGATTCACAGCTTTGATCCATTTGTTTTTTAGGTCTTTTTCGTGTGGACGATTAGGAAAATTATAAAATTTAATATTGGACGAATTTTTATAGGTGTTGTTACAAGAAACTACACAACAGTTATTATTTGATTTGCTTATTTTTAAAAAAAAAAGAATAAATGGTATCAAAATAATAATAACTAGTTTATGATCAACTGAGAATTAATATTATAATATAACACTTTACGTCTTTACAAATTATTCAAGTAATTCAACATTCGTACGAATCTGAATTCTGAAATCATACTAGTATACTATACCTACAACCTACTAAAAGTCTACATCATGCGTATTATAAATTACAATTATCATATTTTATCACTCCCGAAAGAAGTTCACGAAGTGTCCGCTGTCCGCGCCACATGTGTACATGACCGGTCTCTATAGCTAAGGATTGCAAATTTAAAACAAAAGTTCTCATAAATAGTTCATACTGTAACCAAAAAATCTAAAAAATATATGAACACAGTTATTTTTTACAGACATTTTAAATTCAAATTTGGACGAAATTTTAGTTATTTTGTTGTGATTGAATAATATTATTCGTGGGTACTTGAAACTTCTAAAGTGTACTATTATATATCTATGATAGTATCACGGTTTTTGTTGATGTATAACGCGTTATAAGTACCTAATGGATATTGTGATATGATTAATTTGGAATTTATTATGTATATAATATGTCTTATACATAGACTGACATACCGTCTCCGCTCAGAATCGTTTTTCTTATACAATGATATTATATCGGTGAATTCAAATTTAATATCATCCATTATACAGTGACCCACTTGTAACCTACTGTACATCAGAGCGACACCCACTTACCCACCTTTTTTATGTTTCCCTTTCTCATTGAAATTTAATTTGCAGTTAATTTTTAGCAATTTTAACTAGGTACCTATGCATTCCAATATTAGATTTTTAATAGTAGGTAAACTATACAAAAAAACATAAGTAACTAATTTATAACTTAGGTCTTAGGTACTATCTACCTAGAATCTTCCATTATACCTAGTAGGTACCTACCTACTTAGTTAATAACGTTTATTTTTCTTTATTTAAAATGATAAAATATAGGTAAAAAAAAATGTATGCATATGTGAATTTAAAAAATAAATAGTAATAAAATGTATCATTTTTTAGAAATCTTTCTCTTTACAAAAAAAATTAATTTTTTGTTTATTTTATCTGAGATAATTTTGCCGCCCCCAAAGTGTGCCACCCCCGGGCAATTGCCCACCGGTGCCCCCCCCCTTAAAACCGGCCCTGATTGATTTCCTATTAATTTATTTTCATAATTTGATAGAATTTGAAAAATGGAAGCACCCGTGGAAGTATAATATTGAACGAGAAACAGTTTCAATGTATGTGTTATATACTGGAGCAATATTATTTTTGTCATCGTTCATTAAGTTATCGAAAATCAGGAAACAATTTAAGAATGATGAAGGCGATGGGAAGCAACAAAATTGATAAAACATGTCCTACAAAAATAGAATCAACAATAACAAAAAATAAAGGAAATGCTTCAGTACAAGTAAAGTACTGGAAAACACACTGTAGACATGCTCAAGAAATTGGATGATGTGAAAAATCGCCTAGAATTATGTCTTTATTAAAGTCAGCTTACTATTAAATATTCCCATGTACAGTGTCGGCCTGGCCAAGGCAGCTAGGCAGCAATCGCTGCCTGGGTCCCCGTCTTTTTTTTTTTATATGTATATATATATTTATATATATTTAAATGCGGTTGTGACTTGTGGTGTGAGCTAACTGCTAAGTAATATAATAATAGTAAATAAGTAAAAGTGGAATTATTGGGTAAATTGTTTGAATCAGATGAAAATGAAATATGTGAAGATGATAATATTAATGAAATTACTGTATCAAATACTGTATCAGAAATACAAGATGAAAACAGTGTATTGGAGAAGTTAAGAGTCTCATCTCACGCTAATTATTTAATTTCAATAAAATAATATAAATTAAATGCTTTAAACTATGGAATACTCAATGATTATATTGTTATTTAAATTTAATTATAGTAAATATAATTTTCATTTATTATTATGTATTTTATAATAATATAAATTAGAATACCTATATTAATAATATTTTTATGAATCAGATGGAAATGAAATATGTGAAGATGATAATATTAATGACATTTCTGTATCAAATACTGTATCAGACATACAAGATGAAAACAGTGTATTGGAGAAGTTACCAGTCTCATCTCACGGTAATTATTTAATTTCAATAAAATAATATAAATTAAATACTTTAAACTATACAATAGTCTATGGTTATATTATTATTTAAATTTAATTATAGTAAATATAATTTTCATTTTTTATTATTTATTGCATTATAATATTATACCTAATTTAAAATATATTAATTATATTTGTATGAATCAGATGAAAATGAAAAATGTGAAGATGATAATATTAATGAAATTAATTTTGAAGATAGAAGAGCAAATAATGAAACAATAATTACTTTAAATGCTAGTTCCACTTCAGGTAATATTGCATTTCTTTATCTACAATTATATTAATTCAATGCAAGTGAAATTTCCTTTAGTAAACCACCCTAATCAATTTACTTTAATATACATAATTTTTTTGACCACATTTTTTTTTATTAAATAAAGAAACACAAAATCCAACAATGAAATTAGTTATAATCAGGGTTCGGATTTTATAGCGCCAAAAATCCTAAAATATGCGCTATAATATGACCAAAAAAACTTATAACTTATAATCATGATTATCTTATAATTTATTAAAATAAAAATCAAATTGTACTATTTTAAAAACTAGGGAATAATATACTAATTTTAAATTAATATCCAGATTGTTCATAAAGAATGTATAGTATAGTATGGTATACTTATAAATCCCCACCTTTTCCCCTTTATTAAAGGTTTTTTTCGATAATTATTTGTATTAAATTATATAATATTTTTGTAGGGGTTAATGATGGTACTGAATCCAATTTTAATCATGGTAGTCCAGATAATGCAGGTTTTAATATGGAAACATCAGAATATAATATACAGACTAAAATTAGTAATGTTCCACAAATTGAAAACCATAATTTATCAACATGTTTATCACCTTTTATCCGTCCAACAAACTCTAGTTCAGTAGAAATTAAATTAGATTTTTTGAATCTTCATCCAATACAACCAATACCTTTAAATAGAAAAAGTGTAGACTTTAATAGAATATATAATAGAATATTTTCTAATGGAGATGTTATGAATAGAAAATGGATATCATTTTCAATTGATACACAATATATGTATTGCTCAAGTTGTATGGCATTTTCAACAACTTATGGACAAGAATCAAAATTCATTACAGGTTATTTAGCTTGTATAAAAAAGAATAAAAGTTTGTACCAAGACATTGAAAGGCACGAAAAATCTAAAATTTATGAAAACTCTTCTTTAGCAGTTTTACGTGCTGTTGCTAGCAATGATATTGGTAATCTTATTAATCGTAATGTTTTTTCTCAACATGCCAAAGAAGTTAAAAATCGTAGAGAAATATTAAAACGATTAATTGATATTGTTTTATTTATTGGAACACAAGGAATTCAATACAGAGGAAAAGAAGAAGGTGCTTATTCACTGGTCAACCGAACACAAAACCATGGAAATTTTTTGGAACTTGTATTATTAATGTCAAAATATGACAAAATACTTAACGATCATGTTGATAAATCCATAAAGATAAGTGAAAAAAATTAAAGCAATAAAGGTAGAGGGTCATTGGTTACGTTTATGTCAAAACATTTTATTAATGATAAAATAATTAAACCTATTGGTCATTCAATAAAAAAAATTATCATTGAAGAAATTCTTACATGCAAATATTTCTTTATAATGGTTGATAGTACACAAGATGTCAGTGTCATGGACCAACTTGCGATTTGTGTTCGCTACTTGGTAAATGATTCTATAAAAGAAAGATTACTTTCTTTAGTTGTTTGTCATGATTCCAGTGGAATTGCATTATACAATTTGTTAGAAAATATGTTTATGTCAATGGGTATCTCAATGAAAAATATAGTAGCCTGTTCATTTGATGGTGCAGCAAACATGAAGGGTACTTACAATGGACTTCAATCACATTTAAAAAATAGTAATCCTAACATAATTTATACCCATTGTATGGCACATGTCTTAAATTTAGTAATTTGTGATTCAACAAAAACATGTTTGGAAGCGGAAAACCTTTTTGGATTAGTTGAACAGTTTGCAGTATTTCTATCAGACTCTCATAAAAGAATAAAAAACAATTTGCCTCTCATTATTTTAATATTATTCCAAAAAAACATGGCATAATGAACGATAATGATGGTGAAGGTGATATTATAGATGAAGTAATGACATCTGATTCAGAAGATGAATTTGACTCAATAAATTGTAATTCCTGTTGGAAATGCATAGCATGTGCTTTTAAAATTGTTACCCAACTATCTTGTCATTCTGGTATGTACAACAACTTGTATCAAGTTTTTAAATACATAATGCTATTGCCATCAACTCAAGTCACGTGTGAAAGAGTATTTTCCAAGCTAAAAGTAATTAAAACAAAATTAAGATCGTCACTCGATCAGCAGCATTTAGAACCACTAATGCTTATGGCTATAGAAAAAGATATTACTTTAAATGTAGACAAAATAAAACTAATAGATGACATAGCAAAATCGTCAAAAGAAATGACAAGACTTTTAATATAATATATTTAATGTATTTATTTTATATATAGGTACATAGTTTTTTATATAAAAGTTGAATACCTACCTGTTAATTTAGAATAAGAGAAAAATTTAACTTTTTTTTTGAAAATTTCATTTTTCATTTTTCAACTTTTCATTTTAAAATGACAAAATATAGAATCTCTAATGTATTACATTTTTATGACCATTTTTCATATTTATGATTTATTTTATTTAATTATAATAAATAAATTTTGTAGTATGGGGGCTGGGGCCCTTCCAAATAAAATCCTGCCTGGGCCCTTTAGAACCAGGCCGACACTGCCCATGTAGTTTTAGATGAAACAAATTAAGGATTGGTTTATCAAATTAATCGGTTAGACTTAGTTTCAAAATCAAGTTATAGCGATTTGAAGTATGTCTGTTTTATAGTTTTATGGCTATCAAAAACCTATATGCGCTGTATGGAAAAATATTCACTAACTTGTTTTATTGATTGTAAGGCTTAATTAATAATCAATGTTTGTTAGTTATAGATTAACGCAAACTGTAATTAGGTGTGGATTTACTTCATGTTTTAATTAATTGTGATTTTATTGTAGTTTGTCATTACTATTGTCTTGTAAACACATACATGCCTGTGCAAAATCATTCAACAAAGTTCTTGATGACAGCAGTATTTGTTTGGAAGATAATATTGTTGGAGAACAAGAAGAATTGATGGAGATGATATTTTCTCAGCCTTCTGTTGAATTTACAACACCTAGTATTCCTGGCATTAGTGGAAAAATAATTAATAAAGTAGAGCTTGTCCGTAGTCTATGTGCTACAAATGTAGTTAGTGAGGAGGAAGACATGTTACTTAATAAAAAATTGGATGACGTTATAAATATGTTGAACAAAACAAAAAAACTCCATTTTAATCCTGTTGAAAATTTAAATATCCAAAAAAAAAATTACTGGCCAAATGCGTTTATACTCAACAAGAAAACAAAGATTGCATAAAAATGATATTTATAAGCCAACTGTAAATGAAACCAATGCTATTCGAGAAGGAATTGAGAGCAAAAACAATGAATAATATGTTAATATTCACCAGACATTTGATCATGGTTACCTATGATTGAGTGTGTTAGGATCATAATTGTCGAGATAATTGTTATATCTTTGTTTTTATAAATCAAACATTTTAAAGTAAAGGCATAAATTAGACTATTAAGATTTTAACTCCATATAACTTAAGCAATACTTACCCTAACAACACATGACGTCCACGGGAGTTTCCCAAATGTTTCCTATCCGGGAAAGTCCCACTTATATGTCCAAAAACCAATCTTTGAACTTCCCAGTTCCCTTTCGCAATTTTAATATATATAGTATAGTTGTTATTTATATATAAACTTCGTTTTATATAGAAGCCATTTATACATGACGTCCAAAGAACTTCCCGGATATTTCCAAATTAGGATAGAGGATAGTTCATTACAACAAGACGCATGCCTACGAGTGACTGTAGTACAACTGTCCTAAGACCTTCCTTAGGACTTCTCATAATATCTTTCAGTATATATACATATAATTGTATACAATACATGAAACCCCTTCCAGTTCACTATAACCAGCCACGATAAGATAGAACGGTTACACAACGATATTTTTCTGATAATATTCATATTTCGGCGGTGAAGATTCTTATCAAAAATATAAAATAGTAAAATACTCATTAGGCGTGTTTTGGCGGAGTAAACTGTTAAGTAAATAAGTTTATGGTTATAGAATACGGTTAGAAAACGTTTACTGGAACGCCAAAACGATTAATCGATTAAAACGATTAATCGATTAAACGTTTGATCTGTTTACTGAAATATTTGATAAAACTTATCATAGAAATACCGGCATACAAAATACAAATTATCACGTTTTTATCATAAACTTTTTAGTAACCGACGAAATCGACGAAATTCACTAAACACGTTCACGAAATTAGTTACCTGGTTACAGTAACCGTAATCGCGAAAACGATATCAGTAAACAGTTTACTAGCGGTTAGCGCCGGTTACACCGCCAAAACACGCCTAACCTTGTATCGTCTGCATCGTGGCATCGTGCATTTGAACTATTTGAACTTTTGAAGTGTAATTACCTACCTACGGATTAAAAATGAATCATTTGGATTTAGGCTTAGACCGACCCAATTTAAGGTATGTATTACAATATTTACTAAACAATAATACACGTTGATAATTTTATTATGGCATTTAAACTTTAAAACAGTCATATATTAAATTAACCAGTGGCATGGGTTGGAAAGAAGATACTTAAAACTCAGTCTCTGATCTACATCTAAACTATGCGTTTGCAGTGTTATCTTTAGCATTCTCGTACTACTTTTAGATGGTTTTAGTCATGATTTTACCTACCTATCTAATCTGCCTTTGTCTTGTTTATATAATATTATGTGTGGATTTTTAAACTTTTTTCCCATGTGTGACTATAATGTAATAGACACTATAGCTATAGTATTTACTATTTTGTTTAATTGTATAGGTCCTGCACTTAATTTCTTAGGTGTAGCCATAATAAATGCTACTCAATAATATTAAAATATTCATAACAATCTAGTTTGTGTTGATTACAAATATAAAATCACAATACTAATATTAACACAGCTATACTTCTGGGTACAATGGGTACCTATTATATTCTGTGTTTGTTATGATGTACCTACCTTCTAATAAAAAAAATAGGCACCTACCTAGGTATAATTTTTGTTTTGTTAATATTCTTTTAGAAGTTAAAAAACTACATTGTCACTTTTATTATTTTTGCATATTGAAATAAAATTAGTAGGTACCTATACATTTTATTTAGGAGTAAATTACAATTTACTTAATTTTTTGAAGAACGATTTTACACATTTTTTTTTTTTTTTGTAGAAAACATAAAAAAAAATTAAAACCAATAAATGCTATATCTGTAAAACAATTTAGAAGAAGAATATTACAAGAGCGTGCCAAAGTTAAAACGTCAATAATAATTACAAAAAATACTTTACAGACAAATGTTACTACTGTTACTAACAATAGTTTTATTCCTGACGTTTCTCATAAAAATATGAATTATGATGATAATATAAATGAAATTGATGTGCCTACTTCAAAAATGAATATTAATAGAACAATTCCAGATACCTTAGACAATACTGAAATAATTGAGGATATCAATAACCAGAGTCGAGATCGGAGTTATATTGATGATTCTATAAATATTTTATCTAATGTAAATAAAGCTAATTTACAAGAATATTTAGCTGAATGGGCTACTCAACATAATATTAAACAGATAGCATTAACTCATCTGTTGAAAATACTCAAATTATATATTAATTATGATTTACCTATTGATGCCAGAACATTATTGAAAACTCCCAGAACAACTATAATTAAAGAAGTTATTCCAGGGGAATATTTTCATTTTGGCCTTCGAAGTGGTGTTATAAATTTTCTTAAACAGCATGATACTTTTTCATTAACTCAAACTGATATTGAAATAATTGTAAACGTGGATGGTTTACCTATTTCAAAATCATCGAATGGCCAATTATGGCCAATTTTAGGGTCTGTTTTCCCTTATAACCATGTATTTATAATTGGTCTTTATTATGGAAAACAAAGTAAACCTGATGATTCAAATGATTTTTTGTTTGATTTTATTGAAGAAACTAAAGAAATATACAGAAATAATATTATTCACGATGGTAAAAAATTTAAATTAAAAATTAAAGGAATTTCAGTTGACGCCCCAGCTAAATCATTTTTGTTGCATACTAAAGGTCATGGAGGGTATTCAAGTTGCACCAAGTGTGAAGTTGAAGGAGAATATATTGAGAAGAGAATATGTTTCCTTGATGAAAATGTTTGACTGAGAACTGATAAAGATTTTGAAAAATGTAGTGATGATGAATATCATACTGGCAGAACTGACTTACTATCAATTCCTAACATAGGTTTAGTTTCAAATGTGCCTCTTGACTATCAGCATTTAATTTGCCTCGGTGTTACAAAGAAATTAATTTCATTGTGGCTTTGTGGTAGTTTAAATGTTAGATTAAATTTTAAAAAAGTAAAAAACATTTCAATGTCCATCGAAAAAAATATTTTATTGTATGTTCCAATTGAATTTCAACGGCGACCACGATCATTAATTCAATGGAAACAGTGGAAAGCAACAGAATTTCGGCAATTACTATTATATACTGGGCCTGTAGTACTGCAGTATAATGTTAATAGTGATGTATACTTAAACTTCTTAACATTACATGTAGCAATTCGAATACTTTGTTCTGATAGTTTGATTAAACAAACTGAATTTATTCAATACGCCCAAAATTTACTTTTACATTTTGTTAAATCTTTTAAAAACATTTATGGAGGGCATCATGTTTCACATAATGTGCATGCACTAATTCACATATGTAATGATGTACTATGTTATGGAACATTGGATTCTTTCTCAACATTTAAATTTGAAAACTATATGCAAAAAATTAAAAAAATGATCAGAAAGGATGATAAACCACTGCAACAAATTATTCGTAGAGTTGAAGAAATTAAAACAAATTATAAAGGTACCAAGTGCAATTGTGAATTAAGTGACACTTGGATTTATAAGAAACAACATTACAGTGGTCCTTTACCAATTAATATGTCAAATCCTCAGTATTTATCTATTACTTGCAGTTATTTTACAATAATTGCAAAAGATCAAAAAAACTGTTGTGTTTTTTTAAAAAACAAAGAAATAGTTTTGACTGATAATATTGTATTTAATAAAGATTCAAGTTCATATTTCTTGGTTGGACATTCATTTTTAATTAAACAAGATCTATATTTAAAACCTTGTGCTTCTAGTTTATTGGACATATATTCAGTGTCACAATTATCAGAACAAAATACTTGGCCTATTTCTATGATAAATAAAAAGATGTTTTTTTATGAAATTCCAAATAAAAATGGATGGTATGCAACTTTTCCTTTATTGCATTCTGACAGAACAGAAGTGTCTAGTATTCAATAATATTGAAATACCTTTATAATTGTATATAAAAGATTTTTTATTGTAAATATTTAAATGTACGTTTAGTTAAGCTGAAATTAATAATAATTTAATGACACATAAATTAAGTACTTTAAATTTTACTTTCAGAAAATTTGTAATTGTTGAATTCTCAGATGGTCTCCAAGTTGTAAGTAAAAATTGGCAAATTGACGATCTCCGTTTTTATTATCCAAATGCCGTAAAAGATATAAAAGAATACAACAAGCTATTAATTAATATGGTTAGTCCAGATGACGGAAGTTTAAATTGGACTTCATATACAATAAAAAAAATATATGGTTCTGATGGTAAATATTTTATAATTCTAAATTTTAGTAAAAAAAAAATGTATTCATTATAACTTTTATGTTTAGATAACTTAAAAAATGCTATTTCGAAATTAAATCAAGCTAAAAATTATTCAGATATAGATGAAGAGTCACCAAAATATCGACATAAACGTTGTATTAAAATGTTATCATCTGACGATGATGAACTTAGCCCACCTATGTTTCGTAGTAAACATGATATGTCATTGAATATGAAAAGTAAAATAATTGATGAATTTCCCAAACCACCAAATGCATTTACTTTAAAACAAACACGCAAGCGTAAAAATGATTCATGTCTCAATGTACTTGTTCAAGATTCAGAAGGCTTTTTCGGTAGTGTACAAAATGAACCTCTATGTACTTCAACACAAGTCTCAGTTCCTGGAAATGGTACCTTGATTACTTAAATTGTTTATACCTATTCTAAATAATAATTGTATTTATAATATTATTAAACTTTCAGATTTAACATCATATTATGAAGTGCCTAAAACCAAAAAAAGTAGTAGTAAACATAATATGTCATTGAATATGAAAAGTAAGATAATTGATGAATTTCCCAAACCACCAAATGCATTTACTTTAAAACAAACACATAAGCGTAAAAATGATTCATGTCTCAATGTACTTGATCAAGATTCAGAAGGCTTTTTCGGTAGTGTACAAAATGAACCTCTATGTACTTCAACACAAGTCTCAGTTCCTGGAAATGGTACCTTGATTACTTAAATTGTTTATACCTATTCTAAATAATAATTGCATTTATAATAATATTAATAAACTTTCAGATTTAGCATCATACGAAGTGCCTAAAACCAAAAAAAGTCCAATTATATCACAATCTAATGAAATTAATGACATTGGTATAAATAATAAATCTGGTGGTAAGTTTGGTGTTAAGTTGTTTACTTTATAGGTACAATTTTAGATATTTCAATTTGATTTATTAAGTTTCAGATTCTGGTTTTTTCAAAGATGCAATTGAGTTGTCATTATTTAGTAACAATCACATTGACACTGATCTGATAAGTGATAATGACATAACTTGTATGAATTTCCAAGAATTGTGTACTAATGAAGGTCTTAAAGTACATAATACAATCACCAGTCAAGTATTTGATGCATCGAAGAATATCAGTAAATATTTAAACATTATATTATATAAATTTTTTAAATCCTAAAATCGTTGGCTTCTAGGCAAAAATAATTTTCAGTTTTTACTAAAAGTAGTTTTCTGAAAAATGATATATTTGTCATTAAAAGGATGTTAGAGCAATATTTTTTTTCTCTCTCGGACCTATGTGTATCATAAATATAAAAAGCATTCTTAAAATTGTTTTTTTTTTGTAATTTTTTAGGAATTATCTATTAGTAAAATTACCTATTACCAAAATTATAGAGGCATATGATATCAATTTCTTTAAATATTGTCTCAAAACAATTTAAATTTCATTAAAATTTACAAAACAAAATGTATTTTGAGTCAATTAGTAATATACCAATCTAATGTAAATCCTGACCAATATTTCTTCAACACTCAAAAATATTGTGTTTTATAATTTTTGTAATTGGTGATTTTACTCTAAGATTAGGTACTCAACAATCATATAAAAATGATTTTAAGTTAAAGAATTTGAACTATGTTGCGAGTGGGTCTGAGAAAAAAAAACAAATATCACTCTGATATCCTAATGACAAAAATGAAATTTTTCAGGAAACTAAATTTTAAAAAAACGCTGTAAATAATTATTGGTAATAGTTTGTAGATCAAGTTAGTATTGGATATGAATACTTATTAGTTATTTCTAATTTTTGTTTAGGAGAAGAAAACAATATTATTGCAGATATTGCAGAACTGAATCTTAAAGTTCAGAAAGTTCTTGTAAATCAAAATACGATTTTAGATCTATTAAAAAATCTACAAATATCCAACTCTACATTAGATGAAAATATAATTTCCAGTGGACAAAAAAAAGACTTTGAGTTGCATTACACATCAGTCTATCCATTAACGGATATTCAAAAATTTCAGAAAGCAAACAAAATGCTTGAAACAGAATTCTACTATGAGTTAATGGTAAAATATTAAAATATTAATGTTGTTACTTTTCAATTTAAATTTTTCTTCCAACCTTTTTATTTGTATATTATGGTATATTATCAATTTCTTAAAAATAACATTATAAAATAAAATTCATATAACTATTACCTACTCATGATTTTTAGAAGAAGAAAGTTGCATCATTTGGTGGCGCTGAGGTAAATAGTGCTGTGAGAATTATTATGAGCAAATTATTTTCAAATAAATTGGGTATTGATATAACTTTAACCGGAACTTCTTTGATAAGTAAAGATAAACAAAGTTTACAGAAGTCAAATTTTTATAAACTTATACTTGGTATTTATAAATATTAATTATTTGTACTAAATTTAAATTATCCAAATAAATTAGATAATTAGAAAATTTTTGATTTAATATTTTATTATTTGCAGAGTCAATTAGAATTTTATTCAACACGGCTACTGAAGAACAAATAAAAAAACCTATAGCGAGCTGGTTAAAACACGCAAAAGAGCGTTTAAGCAGAAAAAATAATACATTGTAAATAATAATATAAATAGGTAATTTATTTTCTTGTTAATTAAAAAAAAATATATGTTTTAGTTAATTTTCAAAGAAGAACACATACAAAAGGAAGATGACATTCATTTTATTAAATATATGTTTCAGGTAAAACTTATGCCTCTCAAATATTCTTAAAAAAACTTGTATTTATTTTCTTGTTAATTTAAAAAATAATTATGTTTCAGTTAATTGTTCAAAGAAGAACACATACAAAAGAAAGATGACATTCATTTTATTAAATATATGTTTCAGGTAAAACCTATGCCTTTCAAATATTCTTAAAAATCTTGCATTTATTTTCTTGTTAATTGAAAAAATAATTATGTTTTAGTTAATTGTTCAAAGAAGAACACATACAAAAGGAACATGACATTATTTCAATTAAATATATTTTGTAGTCAAACTATATTTTTCAAATTATGTTTTTGATTGTCATTTAAATTTTATCAATTTTACTTTAACAAATAAAATATACTTGGTAAATCAAGACATTGTTATTATTTATTTATTTTGTTCTATTCATTCAGATATTCAATTAATTAAATTACTTTTTTTAAGGATGTAATCATTAATGTAAATGTAAATTTTCTAAGTCTTATATAGGAAATAATTATTTTAAAAGGCATGGTAAAGGGACTTCCACAGAATGGTCAAAAGTAAAGTCTTACATCTAGTATAGATATATATAGATATATATACACATCTAGTATATATATATGATTGCAGTCCATGGACATCTGCAGGACCATGAAGGGATATTCTTCATAGACTTAAAATATAAGTGAACAGGACTTCCGTTGGAGGTACAGGATATATCCTAAGACTTCTATGGGATGGTAGTATGGTTACTAGTCTTTACAGGACATTCCTGGGAAGCGGACATTCATAGTTCTGTTGGATAGAATATGTCCATCCCATATGTAGACTATGACCTACACGGGAAGATCCCAGGATAATCCCGTTATCCTATTAGGAAGGTAATAAAACATACAATAGGAATTCTTGTGTTGTTAGGGTATTAAATAAAAATATCTTGTAAAAAAAACTATGCATTTTTCTTGTAATTAATAATATTAAAATAAATAATGTTTAACACTTCAGTCACCATAACACTATTCATTTCCTTCACTATCTACTACATATATTAAGACATTTAATTTATACTCATAAAATTTAAAGAATTTATAAAACCATATACAGTCTTGTAAATTATTTGAATATAAGTATTTAAATATTTTTGAAGTATTTATACGGTATTCTAAATACAATTTTTTTTTTTTTTATGTATTTTGAATACTTTTTAAAAGTATTTTTAACAACATTTAAATACTTGTATTAAAATACTATAAAGTCCATTTTATTAATTTTACTTTATAGTTTTTCACAAAAAATTTACATCAATAAAAATAATATTGTTTTTATTAAGAACTAATATTATGTTTTTGTATAGTAAAAGTAGATAATAACAATGTTTAAAATTAAAAATATATCACATCAAATTTTATATGGTTTCTGTATTGGTATTTTTTGAGAAAACTGAAAATCTAATAATTTTAAAATAGTTCCATATTAATAGTTACTACCACTTTTTATTTAATTTTTTTCGTTAAAATTTAATCAATATTAGTTGAAATATATCTAAATGCAGAATGAAATATGTGAACATGTAATTATCTTTTAATAGTCAGATGACAGACATGTTAATAGTAATTGTTAAAATCTATGGCAAGTAGTAACATATAGGTACCTATACTGATGTATAATATAAATAATATATTAGATATATAGGTAGTGTAAAATCAAAAAAAATACTTTTATTTGTATTCAAATACTTTGTGAGTATTCGTAAAATACATTTTTATAATAGTATTTTTAATACTTTTTTAGTCGAATACTAGTATTAGTATCTTAATACTTTTTCAAAAGTATTTTTTACAAGACTGACCATATACCTACTACATACATTTTAAATCAAAAGTGATATCTTCTAGCTCCACAGTAATGTTGAGTTTAACACACAAGTGTTCTCTTAATTTATGAGGACGTTACACCGACATTTGTTGTCTCCGTCGAGTGACGTGACATTCGTTACAAGTGCGTATCACAGCAAATTTTGTACTTAGCAGATCGCGTCTAACTCTGTTAGCTTAAAAAATAGAGTGAATTTTCCTCTAATAAAATTTAAAGGTAAGATTGTTATCTGGGGCATCTCACAGATTTTCAATTACATGTTAATGTAATTTGTCTCCAAAATCATGATTCATTCTTGTAGTACACTATTATAGATATAAAATAGAATTGAAATTTCAATGACAAATTCACAATCCTCAAAATTAATAGTATCTAAAAAAATGTAACTGTTATCGCAGATTAACTCTATGATAACGTTATTAAATGATAAACTAGCCAAATGCCTTACTGCGATAGAGCACTATGGATGAGAATACTCATACTTATAGTGCCTTAACTGCGGGGAAGTGATCGTAATAGACCCTACCAGATTATGCATAGTTAAAAACAAAAACAGCATAAATACATAATTATCATATTATACCTACCTACCTGTCATGTTTTATGAATATTTTAATAAATTCTGTGCTAGTACCTAACTTTTCTAGTTTCTGATTTCATTAAGTTATCATTAAATCTACTTATTGTAATAATACATCAATATAACACAATTTGCCGTCACCGAACCACCCATAAGCGTCAGCAATATATGCTCTATTTATTAGTATAAGTTCTACGAATAAATAAAATACTTTATACCTACCTATAATTAATGAAACATTTTAATTTACCTTCAAAAACTTGTTGAGATTTCTTATCATTGTCATTATTCCCATTATTCATACTTGTTTGAGGACTGTCTTGTATGTGTTGTACTCCACTGACGTTAAGGCTGTCGGTTGATACAACCGAAACCTTCTTTGAATTCGTTTTGCCCATCAGTTCGTATAACTCTTTCTTTGCCTCCTCCATTGCTATCATGAACCTCTTGGTAGGAATAAACAGTCTTTTAGGTCTTGTCGGAGTGTCAAAATAATCGTCACGTGGTTGTTTCCTTTTTCTCGGTGTCTTCTTATTCGATTTGTTTTTAGCCTCTTCATTACTGACACACTCGTCGGGCGGTATGAGCTCACCAAATAGATCTCTGTAACCGTCATCTTGGGGTACTTGAGAACCAGAATCTGCAAACCAATCTAGATTGCTGTTCAACGACATTTCATCCGAATCGTCGTGGTGTGGTTTCCTTGCTTTACGGCCACTGTCTCGTTGCGACGTGTTTTTCCGCGACATAATCGTAGTTGAGCACTGCGAGTTATTAGCCAAACAATACTATTGATCAAGTAACGCGTCGTCGGGTAAATTAACTAATTATTTATAATCCGAATTCCAGTCAAAGATTTATAATAATATAGGAAGCAGGAACTGTTTGTAAAAAACACCGAACCATACACGTCTGAAGTCGGACTGAACCACTAAAGTATGAAATGATATTATCTCGTGAGTCGTGACCAATGACCGACAATCACGTTGGCTCCCGGGCCACGTCAACGCTAAAGCGGTAAACAGTAAGCGCGGCAGTGTTGCCAGATTCTCAAACAGGTATTCTCGTAGTAACGCGGTTAAAGGTAACAGGTATACTGGTTGGCCAGTCGGCATCTGATAAGGCACGGCCATATACATGTGATAAGGAGTGCATTTTCAAGGAGACGCGTTCTCGTGCGACTCGTGGCGGTAAACACGTCTCGATGAACCCCCCGACCTGCGCCGACAGCGGCGTCGTTTCCACGGCCAATAATTGTACGTGGTGATCCCAGATTTCTATATATTACTAGATAGCAAACTCCGGTCATGAATTGAAGCTTCATGGTCGGTTTGCAATTGTATGGTATTTCTTATGACAAATAAGATGATAGGTATTATGATTTATTTTATATCGTATTTTATTATTTCTAAACATTTAGGTTACAAAAAAAATAAAAATATTTTATATAAGTCATTTTACATTTACTATTTTATTTGACCGTTAAAAAAAATATTATTCCTAATACATTTTGTGTAATAAATGAAATGTTTTGCCAACCGACAAAATGGCGGCCGTTCACAGCTGAGCTTCACTTGTAACAATGTAAAAATGAATACAACAGTACGGTTCATCACCAAAACGAAAATATTACATTATATCAAGGGTACCAGAAACCGTTGAAAAACTTGGTTAGTGATGGGCGCAAACATTTTAGTAAAATATGTACAATGTAGATATTATTATGTATTATATTATATACATCGTGATGTAAACAAACAAACAGTAGAGAATTTTGTTATAAAATTATCGCCAAACGATTTTTTGTAAACTGTTTGTTCTCGGTATTTCTACGAAAATTGGCTTAATAATTGGACCATAATATTATGATAATATACATTTGAGCCGACATGACCCATCACAGATTCTGATATACCTAAACTACAACTACTCTGTAGTAAAGAATATAATATCTGAGTGACCTATATAAAAAGACTCATAAGTCCCCCTAATCCCTATGGTGATAAATTAAATCAAAATAGATACATTTTTTAATCTCACTGATTATGTTTATTGGTGTATTATGTATTGTAGCCAGCTGTGACTATTTCTTAAATAACAATATAAATCTCATTCTAATATAGTAATATGTACGTAATCATATAATAGACGCGCCGCGTAAATATAATATAATAGTAATAATAATAATATCGCTGGCACCATGTAAAATAATCACGTAATATAGTTTTAGAAGCACTTCTTAATGGTGTATTTAAAGCTAAAATCTGTGGTCAATATTTCTAAGTTTCAGGTTTAGAATAAATAATATTGATAATAATAACATGTATGAATTATTGAAGTTATACTTCTTTACGCAGGGTAGTGAGGAAAAAAAAATCGAACGGGCGGCGCGTACGAACGGGTGGCCGTACGAACGCGAAAGCGTACATGTCCGTAAATAAATAAATATTGTCATGGTAGTGTTGTTATATTATATATTATAATCGGGCCACGTCAATATGACATAATAATAATATTACGTATTATAAAATATATAATGTTGGTCGGTGACAGCCACAGATTACTATCATGAGGTTTCAACGACGATGATAATAATGTAATAAGTATGTCGTTAATATTATATAAACGTTGCAAAATAAAAAACAGATTCATCTATCTTGGCCCATACTAATTAATATGAATAATTAATGATCGATTATTATTTATTTTTATTATTATTATTATTATTATTCACTCACAAATCTATTGTCTGGATAAAAACAATACTACAAACAATTATTATCCATCGATCTGTCGAATAAAAATATAAAAAAATAATAAAACTATCAATAATAAATAATTCTGGATACTTCTTCTCGTTTTTTAAATTAATTAATATTTTTTTCTTTCTTTTTCACTCACTCACGTGTACCATTCAAAAGAAGTTTAACTTCGCTCGCGCGTACTGGTAACCCACATTTTTTTATTAACAAATATAAATTAGGTATCCATTGCTTACTTTGAATATAAAACGCTTTACGTAAATGAACAATATTCAATTTACAACATACTGCAGTGGCGGCTCGTGCTAAGGTGCGATGGTGCCACCGCACTCCCTATGCACATTTTAAAATAAAATTATATTCGCAATTATACTTCTCATAGTAATTAAATAGGAATCATGATGGTCTATATTTCTTACGAAATAATTTAAATGATTCCAAATTGTATTGTAAAATAATAATATTTGAAGAAAAATATCATCTTAACCCGGCAATTATTCCATTGCGATAAGAAATAATCTAAATATTAAACGAAAGCCGAGCGACCAACGTCTGTAACATGAGACTCGTACTTCCGTGTATACTGCAGTGTAGATCAGTGTTTCCCAACTTTTTTACCACCACGGACCACTTTAACAATATTTTATAGGTCGCGGACCACCTCAATTTTACGCAAACTAGGAAGATCTTTTATTTTTTTTTGCTCATTAACAAGAATACACAAAAATGTATTGGAAAATTTTTATTATTTTACTGTACTATTATATATAATTATTAAACTTTACCTAATAATTTACTTAGTGTGATTTTTGTATACGATAAGATAACCATATATTACGGTAAGATAAAATATTTTTCGCTGTTTAAAAAAAAAAAATAATTTATAATAGAAAACTAAGAAAGGTACCGCGGACCACCTATGACTGGCCCACGGACCACCGGTTGGGAAACACTGGTGTAGATACTATATGGTGCGGCGTATTCAATCAGTGACGGATTTTGGCGAAAGTAGGTAGTTGCCTAGGGCGGCAAATTTTTAGGGGCGGCAATTTTAGGCCAATATTTTATTGAGAATACTAATAATTAGTTTCTTTTTGATTTTCTAATGTACGGTGGTCGGTGATTACTCTGAAGGATGGACAAAAAAAATGTTTAATATTTAAGTATAATAATATTCTTGTTAATATAATTTCTTCTATAATAATAATAATACATAACAATAAACGTCCAAGTAAATTATCGAACGACTGCCGGAACGTAGATCTATTATCTAAATACTAAACATGGATAACATATTTCGTTAATTTGTTTTTTTGCTAAGTCGTAATAATTATTAATAATCGCTCGTGGTTCGTTTGATCGCACGGCATGGCTAAATATATATATATATATATATATATATATTTAGCCATGGCACGGCGTACACACACTACACGCACAATACATACAGATTACAGAATATATGATCTATTTAATACGAATACGGTTGACGATCGATTCGTATTGGAACGATAGTCTAATTATAAACCAGCCACTGTGAATATTTTTATATACCTAATATACTCGTACGTACTATGCATTATGTGTACAAAAATAAAACTTTTTCTATCCAAAAGATAAAATTATGTAATAATTGTTTATTTTTCTTCGGGACTATGAAATAGAGGGCGGCCGAGTAAAAAATAGGTTTATTCTGATTAGACATTCGATTATTTTCAACACAACATTCAAGGCGGATAGACTTCATATTCGGTTATTAGTATACTACTTAAATTACCGGTAAGTAAACATTATATTTTATAAACACATTTTATTAGAACAGTTTATTAACATAACTGCCATTAATTATTGTTTAGTATCGGTCTTTATGATTTATTTTTCTAATACTTATGTTAAATAAGTATTTAAAAATACGTTTTCTCGTTGATAAGTTTAATGGGGCGGCAAAAAAAAATTTGCCAAGGGGCGGAAATCGTGTAAATCCGTCTCTGTATTCAATATTGAGATGTGCCGCGACGGCGGCGGGACTATAATATTATTTTGGTGCGGTAATTTTCGTAGCACATTTCCGGCGGCGACCTGTACGCTATACTATCTATGGGCATAAGCACGATTTCTGGAACTCTACGACTGGGACTGCGGTCCGCGGCCGCGCGGCGAGATTATACTATATTACCGTGCGATAATATTATCGTCGTACCAGTGGCGGTTCTGGCATAAAATTTTTGAGGAGGCAACAATATTGTACCCTTCTAGACATGTAAGCGCAAATCCCCCAATTCTCAAAACTCATTAATTTTGTTTAAAAACTTTTCACACAGAAAATAAAATAATACAAATTAAATCATAATATAAAAAATTGTTATTACTTATTATACCATTGCTATTGATAATAACTTATTAGTGATAACGTGCAATATTATGAACCACAGATATATACAACAACTAGATAGCCGTCATTATACTACAGTTGTGATCAATATTGAGATCGGCCGCCATTTACAAAGCAGGCAATGTTTACATTTATTTTACATTTAATTATATACATATATATTTATCTATACATATATACGATGATAATATTATTTTGTAAACATTGCCTGCTTTGTAAATGGCGGCCGACTTCGATGACAAGAAGGAGACGGCTATCTAGTTGTTGTATATATCCATGTTATGAACTAAAGAATAATAATAATTAGTTGTACAATAATATTCTGAATGCCTAAATTCAGTAAATTCTAGTTGTTCCCAAACCTAGAGAATGATTAATCGTCAACTGAAGCGCTGCAAGTCACAGCCTGTGACGCATAGACAATTAGTATATAAAGACATAAAGTGACGTTTGCCGACGGAGGCTACGGTTATGTACAGTCTCCACAGAGAATCGCGCACGCGCTATTCCCATATTTTATGTGCGTCTTTGTGTGTACATTTGTGTACACATGTAACGTATCGATAAGGCGGCGGCCGCGGCAGTAAAGTTGCCT